TCATTTTATTTTTTAAAGGAAGTAGAATGTTAAAATTTTAGAAGAACAGAATTGGAGAAAAATGAAGTCTAGGAGAATTATATTTGAGAGCCTTACAAGTCTAGAATCTTGTAACCTTGGAAACATTGAATCCTAGACTCCTAGAATCTGGATCTCCCCAGAACTTTAAACAGATTCTAGAATCTCTGAAGGCTAGAGCTAAAGAACCACAGAGTATAAAAATCTAGTATCTTAGTTGTATGTAATCCTAGAATTTCAGAATCATCAGATTTGGGAGGAATAGAAGTCTAGAATCAGCTGTAGAACTGCTACATTTTAGAATTTAAATATGAAATCCTAAAAACTTGGGTATTAAGAAGCTTTAGGGGCTAGGGAGATGGCTCAGTGGAGTAAGTGCTTCCCTAGCAAGCGCAAGGGCCTGAGTTTAATCCCCGGTTCCGGGGGAAAAAAAAAAAAAAAAGCTTTACTCTACAATCATAAATTTGTAGAATTGTAGAAGATTGGATATCAAACTCAGGCCTTGGAAATAGAATCATAGATCCTTCAAATACAGGTTTTCAGAGCCTGGTATGGTGGCACATGGCTATAGTCCCAGCACTCAGAAGGCTGAGGCAGGAGGATCCCTATGGCTTTGAGGCTAGCCTCAGCCACATAGTGAACTCAAGACCAGTCTGAGTTGTGAACACAGTGAGACTGTCTCTAAAAAGCAGAACAAACGAAAGCAGTTCTCGGCCAGGTGTCGCGCACGCCTGTAATCACAGCGCTTTGAGAGGCTGAGGCAGAAGAGCGACAGGAAGTGCAGGTCCAGCCTGGCCAGACCCTGTCTGAAACTTAAAAAATAAAAAAAGGCTGGGGACATAGCTCAGTGGCAGAAGGTACGTGGGTTTGATCCCTAGTACCCTGTCCCCAAAGGCTTTCAGCTTACTGTAGGATCTTTGTTGTATAATGTTCTAGGGCCTGGACTCCTCAAACTCTAGATCACTGGTTCCCAACCAAGAGCATTTTGGCTAATAGAAACACTAGCAGAGCGCGATGGTGGTGTTAGTATCCAGGGCGGGGCGGAACACCCTGTACTGCACAGTATAGACCCTCAAACAAGGAATTACCCAAGCCAACGGGTACTTGTATCAATAAAACCCGGCAACTACAAACCCAGATTCTTCTCATGAAAGTAACCGTCTCTTATTCCCTGTCCTGGCAGACTGCAAGTTTAATTGCCACAAGCGCTGTGCCACTCGTGTCCCTAATGACTGTCTTGGAGAAGCTCTCATTAATGGAGGTAAGAGTCCCAGAGGGCCTGAGGGCAGGGGCAGGGCAGGACCAGCTGCAGGTGCTTCTGATGCCCCTGTCCCCCAGACGTGCCGATGGAAGAGGCCTCTGATTTCAATGATTCCGACAAGACTGCCCTCCTCACGGATGAGTCAGACGACTCCGGTGTCATCCCAGGATCCCACTCGGAAAATGCCCTTCATGCCAGCGAGGAGGAGGAAGGCGAGGGCGGCAAGGCTCAGAGGTACCCATGGGATGCCCCAAGAGGCCTAGGAAAGGCCCTTCCCCATAGCAAGCATCAACTTCCTCATTGCTACGAGGGGCTGACTTCACTTTATTTATTTATTTATTTATTTATTTATTTATCTGTGTGTGTGTGTGTGTGTGATCAGCTCAGCCCACCAGGGGGCGAGGCTGGCTGGCATGTGGTGCTGGGGGATTGAACCACGGTCCCTGTGCTTTGCTAAGCTTGTTCTAAGTAGGTGCTTTAGACCCCCTGAGCCATCTCACCAGCCCCCTGA